GCAATTCTTGAAAAAAGGAATAGTTTGGAGAAAATCAGCATGGCTGTGTTTCTCAGGATTCAGAGTGTAGACAGACTTTATGTTGCTATCTAAATGACCACCTATGTCTCAGGTAAGGAGGGCTTTGTATGACAGAGGTTGTGTCTGTTGTGACAAAGCCCTCAGATAAATGGTAGCTGATTTTGAACAACTCCATTCTCCTTTTCTGATGGGAAACATATGACATCTTAAATGGTGGCTGAAATTAGAGGAAATCTTTTAATATCTGTTTATGCATCCAGATACATGTTACTTTTCTCATTTATAGAATGTTTTGTATATGAAATTACAAGTCAACTACACATAGATTAAAAGCAATGCTATTTGTAAATATATAGAAAGTTGTTAATAAAAGTCATTCAGGTATTGTCCTGAGGACAGGAATACAGTGGGGAGCATCAAAGATAACTTTTCTCTTCGGTATCTCAGCATCATAGTTACGTAGGACCGTAACTAAGTACAGGGTAGTGGGGGAAGCTGGTAGATGGTGATGGGCACTGAGAGTATGGGTGGTAGAGTCTTATTAGGAGGGTCAGAGAAGGTAAACTGGCAGAGGTGACCTCTTACTGTCAGACTAGGGAAGGGGATGCTATAGTAGGACTAACATGGGTGATGCCATACAAAAGGACAGAGGAGCAAGAGAACACCTGCATTTCTGACCCAGAGGAAATTGGTGTGCCTGAGTCAGCAGTAACTGGTGTGTGTGTGTGTGTGTGTGTGTGTGTGTGTGTGTGTGTGTGTGTGTGTTTGCAGTTTAAGGAAAGTGTTTATAACTGATAGGTTAGAAGAGACACTCTTTTGATGCCTATTGGAAATAAGAAATATGTTCACTACTGAATAAAACTGTAACCAAGATTAAGAAATTCCTGTCTTTTTTTTCTATGATGGAACAATCCTGGTAAACAAAGTGGTTACCTAATTTAAGGATACAGTCTTTTACTTTGATACTTCCCATTTTTATTAATTATAATCATGTTTATATAAGGTTGGTAATGCTTTAAACATGCTATTTGCTTATTTAAATTTAAGATTGAATTTAAAAAGTCTTAATTTTTTATTATTTTTAATTATGCCTATATGTGTGTGGAGATATACATGTGTGTGTAGGTACCTGCATGGACGAAAGATGTTTGATCCTTCTGGAACTGGAGTTGTAGGCAGTTGTGAGCTGGCAGATGATGGTGCTGAGACCCAAGCTTGGGTTGTCTATAGGGTCACAGCATTCTTTTAGCTACTAAGCCACATTTCTAACCCCACTTAGTTGCATTTCTTAGTTAAATAGATTGCTTTGTCTTTCTTCAATATTTTTTCCTTCAGTGTTTGACTATTTTTTAAAAAAGATTTATTTATTTTTATGTGTGCAAGTGTTTTGTTTGCATGCATGTTTGTATACCGCTTGCATGCCTGGTACCCATAAAAGCCATGGAGGTTGTTGGATCCCCTGGAACTGGATTTATGAATGGTTGTGTGTGGGAACCGAACCCAGGTCTTCTGGAAGTGCAGTAGGTGGTTTTAACTGCAGAGCCACATCTGGAGCCCCAGCTCAGACTGGCCTTGCTCATGACCCTCTTGCCTCTGCCTCTGTGGTGTATCCTGCTGCTAGTGTATTCGCCACAATAGTTCTGTTGACTGTTTTTAAAGGCAGGATTCAATCTCTATTTTGGGTATAGTAGATATATATATATTATATATATACATACATATATATACACATATATATATATATATTTAATTTAAATTTAAATTAGAAACAAGGTTGCTTCACATGTCAATTCCTGGTCCCTCTCCGTTTCCTTCCCCTCCTCCCGTGCCCTCCCACCAACCTCCCCATTATCTCCTCATTTCCCCAGGGAGGCTGAGGCCCTCCATGGGGGTGTCCATAGTCTGTCATTTCATCCAGGGCAGGCCTAGACCCTCCCCCAAGAGTTCAGGGTGAGAGTGCATCTCTCATTGTTGGATGGGAGTCCAAAGTCCATTTGTATACCTGGGATAAATACTGATCTACTACCCAAGGCCCCATAGATTACCTAGGCCTCCTCACTGATACCCACATTCAGGGGATCTTGATCAGTCCCATGCTGGATTCCCAGCCATCAGTCTGGAATTCAAGAGCTAAACCTTGTCAGGTCAGTTGTTTCTGGGGGTTAAACCAGCCCAGTCTTAATATAGTAGATCTTTTAATTTAGAATCAGTATGTAAAATTTTTATTTTTTTCTTCCCACTATTCCTATATGCAGCTACATTTTGTGAAACTAAATGTGAATCTGTTATAGAGGCTTAATCCAAGTATGTATTTTTTTATAATTTATATATTTTTTAAATTTCATTTTACATTCCAGCCTCAGTTCTCCCTTCCACCCCTCCTTCCACCCTTCCCTTATCTCCCCATCCATTCCTGCTCACAGGTAAGGACTCCCATAAGGAGTCAGCTAAGTGTGGCACATTAAGTTGGGGGCAGGACCAAGCCTCTCTCCCATGCATTAAGGCTGAGCGTGACACCCACCATAGGGAATGGTCTCCAACAAACTAGCTCTTTTAACCCAAGTATTTCTTTTTTTTCCATGTGTTTTTTCCCATTTCCTTTTTTTTTAAATTTAGAAACAATCATTTTACATATCCCCCCCCACGTTTCCTCTCCCTCCCATCCTTCCATGCCCCCTATGAAACCCCAACCCACCCCCCACCCAATCCCCAAGGATGGTGAGGCCTTCTATGGGGGATCAGAAAAGTCTGTTACAACATTTGGGGGAGGACCTACACCCTCCTCCATGTATCTGGGCTGAAATAGTCTCCCTCCATAAGGAGTGGGCTCCCAAAGTCCATTTGTGCACTAGGGATAAATACTGGTTCCACTGTTAGAGGTCCCATAGCCTGTTCAGGCCTCCTAACTGGCACCCACCTTCAGAGGGTTTGCTAACCCAAGTCTTTCAATTCTTGGTCTACCTCACATAGTTTGTTAATCATATTGGGGCTAGCTATGAATCAAATACAGTTGTCTATCATGACATTCTTTTATAATGTGAAATGACTAGTTTTAGTTTCTTTTGCTCTATGATGCAAGGTGGATAAACCAAAAATGCAAATATTATATAGCTCTTTAGGATGACTAGATAGTATCATATTTGTTATCTCTAAATGCTTAGTAATATTCTAATAACCAGTTAAAGAATATTTTGCAATAGACTTTTGAGGGATGACCTGTTTTTAAAATGATGGTAAAATACACTCTTGAAAGTTAAATGTAAATAAAAATAGATTGCTAAAGATTGGGTTAGAAACATTGAACCTTTATAACCCTTACAGATTTTTTCTTTTTATTTATTCTTCTGTCATACATCTTGACTGTAGTCTCCTTTTTCTCCCCTCCTCCCATTTCCCCCCTTCCACCTCCCCTCTCCTCCAGATCCACTGCTCCTCTGTTTCCCTTCAGTAAAAAGCAGGCTTCCCAGTGATATCAACTGAATACAATATAACAAAATGCAGTAAAACTAGGTGCCAAAACCCTCACATCAAGACTTGATGAGGCACCGCAGGCAGAGGAAAAGGGTCCCAAGCAAAAGAGTCAGAAACACCCTACTCCCATTTGTTAGAAATCCCACAAACACCCACAACTAAACAATCACAGCATGTATACAGAGGACCTATCAAAGACCCACGCAGACTCCACGACTGTGGCTTCAGTCACTGTGAGCCCCTATGAGCCCTGCTTAGTTGATTGTATAGGCTGTGCTCTCCTGGTGTCCTCCACTCCTTGGGTTCCTATAATCCTTCCTCCTCCTTTTCCAAGGGGTTCTCCCAGCTCTGCCTAATGTTAGACCCTACAATGTTAGTTTCCCTGTGTTCAGATAGTTTATATTCATCAGTAGTACCAGAGTAACATACACAGTCAAATATGTTTTAGATGACAGGACATTCAGTACTTAAGCTTTCCTACAGGTATTATTCTGATTCCTTGTCAATGAAGGTAACAAAATGAAGGTATTTATATTAATTAGTAAGTTACTATAGCAAAGACCTATAGGAAGTAACAACAAAAAGTCTTGTTTGTGCTTCAGCCCTTGTGGATGCTATAAAGATTTTATGATTTTTGCCAATTATTGTATGTCTTTTGATCTTCCACCATAATGTTTAGATTCCCTGGATCACTAGCATTACTCTGTTGTTAGAAATGAACACCTTGTGATTATAGGTATGCTAGGTTTGTTTTTGGCTACTTTGAGGATTTGTAATCAATGGATAAAACAGATATTGGACTATAGTAATTATATTGATAAGTAATTGGAGTTAGGATAATAGTTCTCATGGATAAAGGCTTGAGATATATAAATTGATAGTGCTATCAAGAAGCCTGAAAAAATTCAAAATTCTCTCAGTAGGGAAAGAGATTCTCTGTTTTATCATGAAATAACAACTCCACATTGGCCCAGAGCTTGAATTAATATAAACTGAAGTTTAAAAGGATGACTATAAATAATCCTGTGGTACGAATTTGGACCTTTAATGAATTGGGAAATGTGTTCAGAACCAAAATCAAAACCTTATTTTTCACTTCCAGATTTAGAAAGGAGCTGGCAGAACCAGCAGAAAATTCGCAGGAGTGATGGGAAACAGCTCCTCACTCTATTCTAGACCTACCTACCCACAGAGTCTCTAGGCTCATGTACATCTTTATTCTCAACGTACTTGCTTGTATCAGATGTCAAAATCTGCCACGCTATGTCCAGTGAATTGATCAGCTACTAAAGTGGAAAAAGGACGTGATTTTTGGCTGTCTAAATTGCCAAATAATATAGTATTTGCTTAGAACTTATTTTATCACTTAGTTAATAAATATTCTGTGATAGAAATTGCCATTGTGTGTATTTTGATTTCAAAGTAACTGTTTTCAGACTATCAACAGTTAATGCCTTTTTTAATAGTGCAGGTCAGAGTTAACTTTTATTTATTTCTTTTCCCTCCAGGAACCAAACAACTTAAACATATTTTATTAAAAGATGTGGACACTATTTTTGAATGTAAATTATGCCGTAGTCTATTTAGAGGATTACCAAATTTAATTACCCATAAGAAATTTTACTGCCCACCAAGTCTCCAAATGGACGACAGTAAGTTTTATTCATATATTCAGTTATACATTTTAGAGTTAAGTAATTAAGTAATTTTTACTGCTTCTATGTATTTTGCATTAAAGTATTAATATCTAGCTATAGATAATTCAGTAATGAAAAATAAAATGAAACACTCGACATTGTTATATCCAGTTTCTTGGATAGTACTTTGTATCAATGTTTTCCACTTGGATTTTCCTAAAATATGAGTTTAAATCTGAGTATATTTATTTGTATTGAAATATTGAGGATTGCTTTTTAATGTTTATGTGGTTCATATAGTTTAGTTAGCATTTGAAAGTTACAATATTAATGCTGTCTTTAAGGGAGCAATTTCATGATATATTTCTTTTAATTTAACAACTTGTTGGTAAATATGATTGATCACTTAAATGAGAATATGTCCAATGAATGGCAAAGAATAAGGAGATACTTGATAATTTGGGAATGACAGAGAGCATTAAAAATACTTACTAATTTTCTAATGTTTTATGCATCTTAATTTGAAGATCAGATTTGATATTGATGGAAATGATTTAGATGTCAAATAATCAGTATTGGAATGTATCTAGACTAACAGGATTAGTCTTTAGGGAACCAAATGTCTGAACTAAATGTACTTTTCCTGTATGAATAAATAAGTAATATGTATACTGACATTATTTTCTGCTTTAAAGAATTAATGTAAATTCTTTAAAACATATTAATATTAGGTAACTCCATTATTTCTTGTTCAGGATTTAAACTTTGTGGACTTAAAAAATGAGATGCTTATTTTATTAGCTTGCTACCATAGATACTTTGTGGATCTTTGCATTTTTCAGCTCACCTTTTATAAGTTAGGGGGATATAATGCAAAACCTCAATAGCAAACTATTTCTTTAAGTATTATCAAACTGTGTTAATTATATTATGGGATATAGATAAAATAAATATTTCATATTTGTCTAGAAATTTTTACATGAAGAATATGGTTATATTTTATGGATTATGATTATATTTTATGGAACTTATTTGTAAGATAATTCTTCATGGTGTTTTATCCATCCTTGGGTCCTAGGTTATGGGAACTTTAGGTTGGTTTTACCAGTTTAAAACTTTGAGACTAAAAACAAAAAATTTTTTTGGCTTTCTTGGAACTTTCTCTGTAGACCAGGCTGGCCACAAACCCAGAGATCTACCTGCTTCTGCCTCCTAAGTTCTGTAATTAAAGAATGGGCCACCACTGCCTGGCCATTTTTATTGCTTAAGACAGTCCATGTGCTTGTATTTGAGCTTATTGAACTTTTTATTATTTAGCTATAAATTAAAAGGTAGTATAGAGGAATCAGTTTAAAATCTAACATTTTAATTAAAGTAGTATTTTATTTCTTGGTGTTCTTCATTATATTTAGGTTGTAGAGGTAATTTACATAGTGCAAATGATAAATGGATTTGCCAGATTATTGTGCATTCTTCTTGACAATACTTTCATGAAAGTATTACCACACTGCTTTACTATTAATAAAACAAGGAAGGGTTGAGGAGATGGTTTTTGTCACACAAGCTTGAGGATCAGAGTTTGTGACTCTAGAACCTACATACATACAAGGTGGACATGGTGGCCTGCCTGTGACTCCAGCATCAGAAAGTGGAAACAGGGAAATCCCTAAAGCCAGCAGACTAGCAAGACACATTAGGGAGTTGTAGATTGAGAGGCTGCCTCAGTGATGAAGGGTGATTCGCAGTATCAGCTTGGGGTCTCCATATGCATACATATACCCATCTACTCACAAGCACCCACATATGTAAGCATACTTACATCCTAGCACACCCATGAAAAATGAGGAAAAAGTAAAAGAGGACTAGAAGGACAGTTATGAGGTTTAATATTGTATTGTAACTAGATTTTAGAATTGTATGTGGAAACATAAATGATGCCAGCCAGCCTGGTTGCAGCAGACCATTTGGTTGCCTATATAGGGGGTTGCTATTGTACAAGTAAGTAAACTAATGCTAATTTTAGGCTAATAGTTTTTAACTAGTTGTTTCAGTTAAATTTTGTCATGTTGAGAAAATTGCATTAAGACTGGGTTTTTATACCTCATGCCATTTATTTTGGCTTGCAAACATTGTTTTATTTCTGTGAGATGTTCAACTGTCCCAGTAGAATTAAGCGATACTGTTTATTAGACTTACATTAACTAGAATACTACTATTTTTTTTTTTTGCTTGGTTGTACGAGACAGGGTTTCTCTGTATTATTTTGGAGGCTGTCGGTCCAGCCTAGCCTCGAACACACAGAGATCCGCCTGCCTCTGCCTCCCGAGTGCTGGGATTAAAGGCGTGCGCCACCACCGCCCGGCTACTGTATTGTTTAAAAATTTATTTATATATAGTAGCATCCTTCCTGATGTTTTATCCATCCTGGGTTGTAAGAACTTGAGTTGACTTTGGTACTCTAAAATTTTCAGACTAAAAATAAGTAATAGTACTTTTACTCTTTAGTACTATCCATGTGTTTATGTATTTTATAATATGGGAACTTAGAAGAAGGAGCTCTTCAGATTTTACCTTTCTCACCTAATGATAAATTAAAGTTTTAATTTATTTAATAACTAGGTTCTTATTCATAAAATGCTGAAAAGTAGATAATGCTATAAAAAGAAACATGTACTTCATTATATGTTTTAAAATATTAAGGAAGTTGGAACAGGCTAATTATTTCAGATTAAAAACAATTGTTTCTTTTCCTTAACAGACCTTCCTGATGTAAATGATAAGCAAAGCCAAGCCATAAGTGATCTCCTAGAAGCCATATACCCAAGAGTAGACAAGAGAGAGTATATTATTAAGCTAGAGCCCATAGAAACCAATCAGAACGCAGTGTTTCAGTATATTTCAAGGACTGATAACCCTGCTGAGGTCACAGAGTCAAGCAGTACGCCTGAACAAACTGAAGTGCAAATACAGGAGACAAGCGCAGAACAGCCAAAAGCAGCCCCGGACACAGACACAGATGTGGAAGTCGTGGGGCCGCCTCCTGTAGAGACTGTGGTAGATGAAGCCGCACCCCCCACCGAGGAGCAACCTCGGGAACCACCCGTTGATTTGGAGACGTCTGATAGCTCTGACCTTGGTCACCAGTTGATATGTTGTCTCTGTAGAAAAGAATTCAATTCTAGACGAGGTGTCCGTCGTCACATTCGAAAAGTACACAAGAAAAAGATGGAAGAACTAAAAAAGTACATTGAAACACAAAAGACTCCAAACCAGACTTCGAAAGGACGCAGTAAGAGTGTTGTAGTTTCATTAAGTAGGAGTTGTCCAGTTTGCTGTAAATCATTTGCTACAAAAGCGAATGTAAGGAGGCATTTTGATGAAGTTCATAGAGGACTGAGGAGGGATTCAATTACTCCTGATAAAGCAACAAAGCCCGGGCAGCCTTTGTTCCTGGATCCCGCTTCTCCTAAAAAATCCTTTAAGACTCGAAAACAAAAGTCTTCAAAGGCTGAATACAATTTAACTGCATGCAAATGCCTCCTTTGCAAGAGGAAATATAGTTCACAAATAATGCTTAAGAGACATATGCAAATTGTCCACAAGATAACTCTTTCTGGAGCAAACTCTAAACGAGAGAAAGGCCCAAATAATACTGCCAGCAGTTCAGAAATAAAAGTTAAAGTTGAACCCGCAGATTCTGTAGAATCTTCACCCCCTTCTACTACCCATTCTCCACAGAATGAATTGAAGGGAACAAATCATTCAAATGAGAAAAAGAGCACACCGGCAACACAGAAAAATAAAGTTAAACAAGACTCTGAAAGCCCTAAATCAGCTAGTCCTTCGGCTGCAGGTGGCCAACAAAAAGCCAGGAAACCAAAACTTTCAGCTGGCTTTGACTTTAAGCAACTTTACTGTAAACTCTGTAAACGCCAGTTTACTTCCAAGCAGAACTTGACTAAACACATTGAGTTGCACACAGATGGGAATAACATTTATGTTAAATTCTACAAATGTCCTCTCTGCACTTATGAAACTCGTCGGAAACGTGATGTGATAAGGCACATAACTGTGGTTCATAAAAAGTCATCTCGCTACCTTGGGAAAATCACAGCCAGTTTAGAGATCAGAGCTATAAAAAAGCCCATTGATTTTGTTCTAAACAAAGTGACAAAAAGAGGCCCTTCAAGGGATGAAGCAAAACATAACGACTCAAACCCTGATGGCACTTCCAATTCTCCTAATAAAAAGTATGAAGTAGCTGACGTCGGCATTGAAGTGAAAGTCACAAAAAACTTCTCTCTTCACAGATGCAATAAGTGTGGAAAGGCATTTGCTAAAAAGACTTACCTAGAACATCATAAGAAAACTCACAAGGCAAATGCTACCAATTCACCTGAAGGAAACAAAACCAAAGGCCGAAGTACAAGATCTAAGGCTCTTGTCTGGTGAGGAACAGTTAGAGTTTTGTTCCCCCTCTCCCCCTCATCGAACCAAAAAACCAAAATCATTTGGCCATAATTTGTAGCTGGTTCCATTTTAACATACATTTTCTTTCATAAATCGTATAGCAGTAAGAACTGCAAGAGGGATGGTTATTGTTTTTACGTTTTGGTGACCTTTATTCCAGTAGCTTGGCAACAAAAGTTAATTTCAGAACTTGCCTTCCACAGGACAATGCAATGTAGTTGTAGGTGGGATGACACAGGCTCAGTGCTTTTGTTTTAATATTGTAAAATTCATTCATTTATTTTGGTCTATGTTTACATGGAAATCTCATATTTAACTAACTTGCACAGGTTAAATTTGATTCAGTCTACTAATTTTATTTAGTCTACTAATCCTAATGCATTGTAGGAAATGAATTTATGAAGGAGATATTTGTAGGAAAAACATTTTAAGTTACTGTGATTATTGTAAAAATTTGTAGGTTAAATAAAGTTAGCATATAGGAAAAGAAAACTCCCGGATGGAATTTAGAAGAATTAACATTTTTTATTTACTTTTAGTGCATTGCTTCCAGAGGAAGGGGAAAAGTTAGTAAACAAAAGTTTGAATTTTTCCCTTCCCTTTGGGAGTATCTTAGTGAGTTTTTAGGTTTGATCTATAGGGGAAAGATTTTTTTAGGTACACATACTTTTGTTTCCCTTTGTGTTTAATAAACTTACAAGAGATCATTTCAATGTAGTTAGTATTATTCAGTAGTGATCTATGTGTGTGTGTGTGTGTGAGAGAGAGAGAGACAGAGACAGAGACAGAGACAGAGACAGAGACAGAGAGACAGATAGGTAGATAGATAGATTGTGGCCAAAAGGAAAGCAAAGTCCTTTTTGGAAGGAAGAATATTCTACTTTTTAAAATGCATAAATAAGGAGGCGATTCCTAATGCTTGTTTTCATAAGTCTATATGTTTTTTAAAGTTTTCTGGCCGCACCTTTGCCCCTTGCAATTAGACATTTAATGTACTTAGTATTAAAGAAGCTTGGGATACAGGCTCTAAAGCAAAGGTCTTAGTTTGAGTGTTTAGTATGTTAATGTGGTTTGATTGTCACATTGTTTTTACTTGTGTGGAAGACTTGGGGTGAAACCATTCTTTAGAAGTCATTTACTGTTGTGTAATTTTAAGGCCAAGGTTTTATTGGTAAACTCAAAAGTGTTCATTTATTCCCATTTCTCCTCAGATAACTTCAAGTGATGTACGAAAAGGTTTGGAGTTCATTTTTGTGGAAAGACTTTAAGTTGTTAGAACCACTAAACGTCTTCACATGGTACTATGAGGAAAAAAAAAAGAACGTTTTCATAAATTTTCAACTGTAACTGCTGATTTCTGACTAAAACAGTAACCATCTAACCAGTTTCTAAGGCAATGCCCATTCCAGCACTTTTGAGTAGCTGTGATATTATATAGTGTCTTCATAGACCTTGTACATATGGTCTACAGTTTCTACAAAAATGTTGGGAATTTTGCTTTCCAAATAATTTGTTGATTAAAATGATCAACAACCTGAAGAAAATAATAGTTTTTAATTGATAGAACTTTGTATTCTTAGTGGTTTAAGTTTATTTCACTTTACATGCAAAATTTTATCTAGATTGTATTAGTAAATATGATTTTTGTAGAAAGTATGTCAGGATTAAAAGACATTACTATCAATATATTTAGTAGCCTACTGAATATTTATAATTATTTTGCATTCATTTCTATTTGAGTTTTCTTTAGCACTTAAATGTTTGAAAGTTTTATTCTAAAATATTTACTACAAAGAAAGTTCCAGTTCATTTTATGCATAGACCATTATTACATTTATCATTTGTAAACATCAGAAGTTTTTATGAAGATTAAACATTCCCCTATTTTTCTTTAAATTTTATATAAAGCACTTTAATGATAGATGCGATCTTATTTCTCAGTTCCTATTTTTTTAAAGAACACACATTTACTAATGTTTATATGAAGGTAATAAATAGTTTACTAATATCTTATAGATGCAGACAATCCATATGCAACCACTTATGTTTCTAGCTTATTTCTTTAAATGTTGCTGAAAAAGGAAGATAGGGGTGTCCATCCTAATTTTTTTCTCCCAAGAAAAAATTTTAAATAACCACCTTAGATAATATTTGATTCCTACTGTAAAATTGAAAATAATGAATTCTTGTCCATCTTTTGTAATCACGATTTTAGGAAAAAATGAAATACATCTATCTTTATGAAATTTTGGGCAGGTTTTTGTGTATCAATATTTTGTACTTTTAGGGAATATTTTATTTTTTAGTAACTTGTGTCAAATTATTTTAAAAGGTACTTACTGCAGGAAATATACCATGTTTTTATGTAGGTTCACAGCTGTACTTAGAATGGACCCTGTCCATCTGTATACTTTTTGTATAAATTTTTAAATGTCGAGATCTAGAAGGTCATAATAAAATGCTTCTATAGTTAGAAATACATTCACCTTCTCAGTGCTTTGCACTACAATATACTGTGAAAGGAAATTAGAAAGACTGTAATTGTTGCTGGAAATGTTCTATATTGAATGTACATGTTTTTGTTGGAAAAATGTACTATATGTGATGAAAATAAACCAGACTAAAATTTATTTCAGCTAAATGTGCTTCAACACAGGTACATTGGTTGAAACTTAATGTTTTATTATCACATTTACTCAGTGACTATGAGAAGCTACACTTGAATTTTATCCCAATAGTTTTAAGAAGTAATGATTTCTCTTTAATTTAAAAACGTAACTTTTCCACAGATGGAAAATTTGTACTTAAAGGTCTAACTTTAATGACTAATAGCATAATATATTTAGGGACCAAATGTGTAGTAGGTGGCATTTAATTTATAAACCATCTTCATTAGTTGCACATTATTAAACCTGTATTTTTGACATTTGCAAGGTGTTATTTTTTTTGTGCATTCCTACACACAATACATTCTCTGTTGACCTTTTCCAGTCTGCTTTACTTGCTAATTGTTGTAGAAAAGAAAGAAAAAGTAGCTTTAAGTTGGAGGAGGGAAGGTAATACTCGAAGTTCTTTACTGCCCTCACAGGGCTATGTTCAGTGTGTTTCCCCTTAATAATTCTTGTGCCACAGAACAGGACCTTGTGAGAACAAAATGCATGTGTCTTCCAAAGACTTCTTCTAGGCCACTGTGGTGAAAGCAGTGCTGTGCCAGAACTTGCCTAAAGCAGAAGCACCTCGGTGAGGGCATCGTGTTACAGACTGGGACCAGTTTAGATAAATAAGGGCATTTGAAAGCATTTGTTTTTCCTGTTCCGTTCTGACCTGTGTTTCTAACTTTTGGATTTATTGTGCCCAAAGCTTTTCTGCACATAGTTTATAGGAACAAATGTTCATATGACTTTCTGTTAGTGTACTGGGAAGTGAGTTAGTTGCCATCCAAAACTGGTCATATATATTTAGACCTGTCTCTGGTTATAAAATTATATCCACTTAAACTGTTATTTGATCAAGAGTTTTTTCTAAGCCAGGTATGATGGTGCATGTCTGTAACCCAGCAATCAGGAAGCAGAGATGGGAATTTTAAATGGCTGCTTTAGAATACTTGATTCCTATTGTAAAATTGAAAATAATGAATTTGGTCCATCTTTTGTGATCAAGATTTTAGGAAAAAAGAAATATGTCTCTCTTTATGAAATTTTAAAAGAATTTTTCTCAAGAGTTTATATTCCTCCCAAAAGACACCTCTTCCTTAGGGTGGGCAAGAACAGAAATAGTAACAGATACAGTTTATACTTGAACTTGTTTGGATTGGATAGTGCGGGTAAGAACTGAATGAGGTCTGCCTGACAATAGGCAAGTGTTCATCAGACACCTGATAGTGAATACACAGGTGGACTTGTTTCATTTCTAAGAAGAACCCCCTGGAAAAACAAATTGTCTATTAATTTTTAACAGTTTTGTTTGTATGAACTGAGATTTTGCACAGGCTGCTTTACTGGTGAAAAGTACTTTTACATTTTTAAATTGATTTGTAGGCAATAGCTTTGAAACTATGGATGCAGCAGTGGAGAGCTGTGTGGTTTGCTGTGACTGCATGTTGTGAGAACAAGGAGTTATCCTATAGGCATATGGCAGATATGTATGGAAACAGGCATAGTATCATTTCCTGTGTGGCATGGCAAAAGATCTTCAAATAGCATGACTGCTGAAAGCGACATAGAAATAAATGTCTCTATGATTTGGATATTAGGTTCCTAGGTTTCCTGCAGTGGCCCACAGGAATATTTTAGATCCTTATTTTGGGGTTGTAGAAGCTATTTCTCTAATGGAATCTGTAGTCTATGAAGATTATGATCTAACCGTGGTTCCGAGAGTTGATCCAAAGCCAGACTGTCGGATACATAGTATGTTGGCTCTGCTCTTAGGCAAAGGCCCTGTGCTCTGTGCTTTTCTTTATACTCTGGTTTTATGAGCTAAATATCTAAGGATAGGCAGTCTTAGAAGCTGCCAACTGATTGGTTATCAAGGCAGTAGGCACATGGTAAAATGCACAGTAAAAATGTTTCCTTAAACTTACTGACCAGTATTTTCCCTTCCTAAATCACCCATCCCTCTCTCTAATTTGCATCTTTATCTCTTTCTTCTGAGCTTCTAGCTTCTGGCTTGCCTTTTCTCTTCTGTTTGATTAAAAGAGACCATTAGTCCCAGACAGCTAAACCATGTGGGGCGGTAAGAATAAGAGCATGCAGTTCATTTTCTTCTGCATCTTCAGGGTTTCACACTGAATTGGGAGGAGGAGTATTTTCAGGCTTCTTCGCCTATTTTTGATACCACACTTTCAGAAGCAAAGGAAAACTTAAAAAGTAGGTGCATCTAGTTAGGAAAAAAGCCCGAAGACAGAGTTTTTGGTATTTGTGTCTATTCTGCAGCTAATTGATTTGATTGTTTATTTTGGGGGTCAGGGAACTGATGGTAT